GAGACGGGCGAGGTGATGGTCATGAAGGAGCTGATCCGCTTTGACGAGGAGACACAGAGGACCTTCCTCAAAGAGGTGAGCGTCCTCTTTCTGTAATCCTCTTGGGGACACACGAGGGATGAGGCTGTCTGATCCTGTCCCCGACCCTGACGTGGTACGCTGGGCCCAACACCTGGGCTGGAGGTGGCCATATGCCTTGGGCTGCAGGCAGCGCTGCCTACTGAATGGAGAAGACACAAGCAGCGTGGGTGCTGAGTGCCTCGGGGTGTCACATGCATGGGGGGGTCCTGCAGGTGAAGGTGATGCGTTGCCTGGAGCACCCCAATGTGCTGAAGTTCATAGGGGTTCTGTACAAGGAGAAGAGGCTCAACTTCATCACGGAGTACATCAAAGGGGGCACTTTGAGGGGCCTCATCAAGAACATGGTGAGCACTGGGAGAGGCAGGTCGGTCCCCCCACCATTCCACAGCTATGGTAGAGCTGGAGGACCCCTCTTCTCTGCCCTCTTCCCTGGCAAATTCCCCCTCCTGTCCCCAGGACAGCCAGTACCCCTGGAGCCAACGGGTCAGCTTTGCCAAGGACATCGCCGCTGGCATGGTAGGTGCCACCATGGATGGGTGGGTGGGATGGCTGCAGGTGAGTGGGTGGGGGACTGCAGGCTGGAGGTGCCACCCTGCTCTCAGCCCATCCTTCCCTCAGGCCTACCTCCACTCCATGAACATCATCCACCGTGACCTCAACTCTCACAACTGCCTTGTGCGAGAGGTGAGTCCCACCTTGGGCAGTGTCCTCAGGTCTCAGCCCCCTGTGTGGCTCCCCCATGCCTCACCTCTCTCCCTCCACTCAGAACAAGAGCGTGGTGGTGGCTGATTTTGGGCTGGCACGACTGATGGTGGATGAGAAGAACCAACCTGAACATCTCAAGAACCTGAAGAAACCGGACCGCAAAAAACGATACACGGTGGTGGGGAACCCGTACTGGATGGCCCCCGAGATGATCAATGGTGAGCCTAGCTGCAGTGCTGGCAGGGGAGACGTGGTGAGGCAGGGCTCTGTCCCCAAGCAGAGGACACTTGGTGGGGCAGGAGCAGGATGTTTGGCATGGCCTGACCCGTCTCTCCCCATAGGGAGGAGCTACGATGAGAAGGTGGATATCTTCTCCTTTGGCATCGTCCTGTGCGAGGCAAGTACCCTTGGGCTTGGGGTCTTCTTGTTGGGCTTGGGGTCTTCTCATTTGGTTTGGGATCTATGGTTGAGGTCTCCCGTTAGGGTTGGAGTCCTCATGGGGGTTGAGGTCTCCATTTGGAGTCTTCTCACTGGGATTGAGGTCTCGCCCTTGGAGTTGGGGTCCTCACTGGGTTTTGATTCCCCTCTTGCGACTGAGCCTGCTG